AAAGAGCAGTCAAGTTTGTGTTTTCCCTAAGCAGCATCTTCTGTTACCGCTGTTGGGCACAAGTTGCCAGGCTGGGTGGCCCACTAGTCAGACCCTGTAGGGCATTTCTTAGTGCTAGAACTGAGTATTTTCATATGCAAAGCTCTAGTTGTTCATTCACTGAATTCTTGTAAGGATAACCACAAAAATACCCCAATACGGCAGGTATGTTAATACTGTATTGTTTTTGTGTGAGTTGTTAGTGTGTGTTTCAAAGTCTCATCTTTTGGTAGCTAAATGCCTGCCTATTACTGTGTGTAGCTAACATGGCATTTACTTGGAAAAAGTACGCAGCTTGTTAAATGCRTTTTAAGTTTATGTGTATGTTTATTTTTCTTGGCAGTAGGTTTTAGTTATCGCTGAATTGAAAAGCCATCTGGGTGCAGTGAAACTGTTTGGTGAGCAGCTACTCTAGCAGGACAGGCATGGGGAAAGCTGAATTAGAKTAGCTTCTTCGTGCTCTGTTACTATGTGCTGCTGAGATGTCTTTGTGCTAGTTCCAGGTAGGCCAAATGAAGCAGACAGGACACACAGGAGCACTGAGATATCCACATCGGTAGTTCAGCTGCCCAGAGCTTTCGCACAGGAGTCTGGCCCTGTTTTAGGAGTGGAGTCTGTGCACCAGATCCACTCCACCAGACACCAGAGCAGCACCCATGTCTTTGCATAGTGGGGTGTCTTTGCCCTCTGTTGTGCTGTCAAATGCCTGATGGTGAGGGTCAGCAAACCCTGCATATACAGGTGCTGCTTTTTATTTAATTGCAAGCACTTTATTGTTTGTATTCTTTTGGAAAATTATTTAAATGTATCTTTTATCAAAAATTGTAGCTCTTAGAGAGAACCTTTATAGAGTGGGAAAAAACAAACATGTGCTAATTCACTTTAATATAGGACACAGAAAAGCCATTTAGAAGATGTTTTGTCCATGTATGTTTTATTTTGGGGAACATGATGTTTATCAATAAAAACACTCTATTTTAACTAGAGCCCTTGAGGCTGTTCTCACTGAGGCTTTTGACTTCTTGTGAAGCTTCTCTGCGCTGGAGACGGGCGCTCGGCACGGCGGGCGTTGCACCGTGCAGCGCCTGGGGCCGCATCCTGGCCGAGGAACCAGTAGCGCCCTGCTGCTGCCGAGAACCACAACGTGAGCAAAGCCTGGCCCTGGGCTCCCCAGTTGTTTGGCAACATGTTTGGCTTTTAATCAAAAGAAATGCAGTGCTTGGTACTTAACATGAGTCCAGAGTTTCCCTTGTTCCCAGCAAGTTAAATAAAGTTAACACAAATGAAGAGCTTAAAACATCTGACTAAAACCTCTGTTAAGCTAATTGAGATTTACTTCCTTGAGGCTTTTGATGCCATTGTCCTTTTTGTTCTCTGGTTTTCCAGGGAAGTACTTCAGCTATAGGCAAAAATAAACCAAAGAAGCATTTTAAATCATCTTCACACTTAAAAGGTTTTATGCATATTCTTTAGTTCCTATTTACTGGATGCACATTTCTCTCGATGTGGAAAAAAAAAATACAAAAATACTATTCCAAGTACTTTGTTTTTTTCTTAACAAAGACTTAATCCTCATTTTTATATCAGTTTCACTATTTTTTCTACCAACATTTAGTTCAAAGGAACATTTCTAAGCACGCATGCAAAAAGCAGCCTATTGTATGAAACAGAGATGTGTGTTTTATATCAGGAGTTTAGCGAACAATGCAAAGGTCAATTGTGTTGCTTGCTCCCCTGCCGCATGGTGGGGGGGGCCATGAATGCATCCCTGGAATTCCACCGTGGGATCTGCATCTTTGAAGCTGATGCTAAAATTACTGCTTAGGCTCTTCCAAAGGCGGATACTGATAGAAGATTCAATGAAATCGAAGGTCGTCAGCCTGGTAGGCGTTGAAAGATACCTGGCTATGATACTATTTCTGATTTAATAAGGCGAATGGGAGGCTAGCCCTTTGTAATAATTAGGACTAATTACTGAAGAGGTGTTGACAGATGGGCTAAGAGGAAACAAACTGCCTTTATCCAGCGGCTTAGAGTCGGATTACTAGTCTTGTGTTATCTGTTTCTCAGAAAGTAGAAGCTTCAATCATTCGCTAAGTCTTCAAAGGGGAAAGAATCCTAACAATATACAGGATTTGGGATGAAACCATGAAAAACGTCTTTAACTCAAAATGGCTAAATTAATCCTCTTTCCGTAAATTATCATACTTCTAAAGTTTGAATTACAGATGGAGAATCTGATTATAGTCCTGAAAAATAAGTGAAATCAATATCRATGACTGTCCTGTTGTTGTTTGCTGCTCCTCCTGCTTGTGGAATAATCTGTATCTAGTTCCTTGCTCTGTCAATTATCTTAATAGGAATTCTTTGTTTCCTGCTTTTGCTATGCTTGCTGTACACCTGAAATGGAAATGACAAGGTAAAATGCTCTCTTTTTTATTGTTTGCTTATAAACAGAATATAGATCTGTCAATCCTGATGATAATTATTTAGCTGCTTAAAAGACAAGATCATGTAGTACAAAAAGTAACAAATAACATATAGCCGTATTCACTGAGAAACTGGTTGCTGATGTAGGATTCCTTTCTCTTTTCCGTTACGAGTTGGTGTCCATCCAGGACTTCTGGATGCAGTAAGTAGATGCCATTGTCCAACAGGAAAAGAGTTAATGAAAACATTCAAGGGTTAATGCTTTATCATTAGAATGAGCACTGAGCATGGCTTGCTTCAGGCGAATGATTTAAAACTCTAGCAATGCCCCGTCCTCTCAAATGACTGCTTTTAAGTGCATCTATTCCCATTCTCCACCTCCACATATAGGTCCTGTTTTCTGAGAAAGARGAGATAAATGTGGTTGCCTTGGGTAGCTTTTATAAGAAGAGGTAGTTTTCAATTATTTATTTACTTTTTAACAAAAGAGGCCTTTTAATTACTGTTTAAATATTTATAACAGTTTTATTGGGCTGTAAAATCAGTTATACTTTGATCTAGATTTTCTGGTTTGAGATAATAGTGCTGGTAAAAGTTTCCCTAATGAATTTGGTCAGAACATGACATAATCTGATTATCTGATGAAAGATTGGCACTTCAGTTCCTGCCAGCATAAAAGTGCAGTACAATGGGGGGCTGTTGAGCACCAGTCAAGGGCTGCAAGTTCAAGTTCAGGTGCTGCAGAGTTGTTTAAACTTCCAAAATATGGTACTGAAACAGTTTCATGTTTTTTATCACATTTTTGGTCAGTAGTAGCATACCTCGGATGAGAGGAATGAAGTCTGAGGTTACATATATAAAGCATATCYCACTGCTTTTGTTTTATCTCTCTCCATTTTCTAAATAGTTATTAGTGTTACTGCTTAAACTATTGGGAAACTGATTGAAACCTCGCAGGCATAGAAAATATTACTATGGACTGGGCATTGAGCAGCATCAGTAGTCAGCCGGTGCTGGGCTCTCAACCACCTTTTTATTAACATCCCTTATGCATTAACCATTTAACTGTTGAACACGTGATTACTCTTATGAGCCTACTAGTCATGTAAAATGGAGACAGAATTATGTGTTCAAACTAACATGAAAGAAGAGTTGTAAGTTTGTATCTAAAATGGAAGCTTAACTTCCACTGTTAAAATAAACATGTGTTTTATTTGATGTTCAGACAATATTTGCTTTGTAAATGTCTCTTCTGTTTGCACGGCAATTATAGGGATTCTTATTAGATTTCTTGGAGTAATTTGCTCCCTCATAGCTTGGTTTATTTAAATGGCATTTGTCTCTGCTGTATTAGATTGGAATCTTAATGCACAAGTGGCAATACTATTAGTAATTACGCTTGAATTTTGAGTATTTTATAACTGATTCAGATTAAAGCAGTGTCCACACTGCTTGGTTTCTTTAAATATTATGTGGCCTGTTAGTGTCACTGGTGATGGGAAGATTGTGTCTGTGTCTGGAGCCAGCAAACGGATCCCAATCTGAGCTGCAGGGATTGCGCTGCCTTGGGCGAGTCCTGTGCTCCGCTCCCACCTCCCTTTCCTGCCTCCAAGAACCACAGACATTCACTCACAGAAAGCTTCTGAAGAGGAGATGAAATGAATGAACCCTGCAAATGCTGCCTCGCGTGAGCAGGCCCAGCAGCTTCATCTGTCAGTCTGGACAAGTGTAGATTAGGACCAAAATTTAGAATTTGAAACATGAGCTGGATACAAAGAGGGACTATCTGTGGTTATTTAATATTCCTTCCATGCCTACTTCAATTTATGCCATTTAATATTCCCCATTTCAATCTATATTTTTGACCCATTAATAAAAATATCTCTGAAATATTGGAAATATAAGCAAAGTTTGTGTGCTGGCCAGAAACAAGCACAATATTCAGATGTAAATATAGCCCCTGCTGTGATAGTGCTAGGAGAGAACTTAGCTTGTTCAGTTAAGTGCAGAATCTTTTTTTTTTTCTTTTTTCCCCTCTCTTCAGATCAGTTTGTTTTATGAATGTGGTGCGTACTTCTTAGAAGTGGAGAAATAAATAAAAWAAAGGGGGGGAATATTTTGGAAAGCTTTGTCAGAAAGCTCAGTGCAGCACATTTTGGTATAATCGCCTCTGCAAGGTGTATCACTATTGGGAAAGTATAGGGGGTTATTTCATAAGCACAAAAAAGGAAATAGCCAAAAACAGAGACTGAAGTTTAAAAAAGTAGATGAAAAGTAGATTTGCTTCTATTATTGTGTCTTCATAGGAGTCACTGCTCAGTATGTCCTCCCACCGAAATGGCAAGAACTGTGAATTTCAGGGACATTGATAATCAAAGAAACTTGAGGATTTCTGACCGAAATATCCTTTCTACCTTGAGCATAGCTGAGGCAAAATAAAATACAACACTCCTAATTACCTGTGTAATACAATAGTCAGATACATTTCTGCTTTACCATAGTTAATTCCAAATAGAAGTATTTATAAAGCAAGAAAAAAGGGGTTTGTTCTTTTGTTTTGGTTGAAGCTAGGATAACCTAACACAAAATTACAATGCAGTATCTTGTAAAACTTAATGAGATATAAAAATTAATATAACTTTAAGTGTGAAAATAGTCTCTTTGGCCTCCATCTCCCTTACTGTTGACAGCACCAGACCAGATCGTGAGCAAAGCTTGAAGTCAACAGAAACGTCTCCATTTCTAGCGGCTGTGCACATGGTCTTACATATCGGGAATCAATTGATAAGTCACCATAGGATATATTTTGTCATCATATTACAGATTTTACAAGTATTTCTAGAACTTCTTGGGCTTCCTAGAACTTTTCTTCATTACATAGTATCATATTTCATATACTTTTCTTTAATTCCAAAAATTCTTGAGTTACTTCGAGGAAGAAAAGTCTAGCAGACAAAATATCATCCGATGTGTATTGTGTTTCATATTCCTGTGCCCTGTGGGAGGAAAAGTAATAGAACAGACAGATAAATAAGTGTGATGATGTTGAAACTGGCATGACAGTTTCTGCTGTTGCGCAACAGAACTGCAATCAATTTATTGTCTTCATTGGTCACATGCCAGAATAGCAGTATAATATTATACAAGACTAGATTAATTAAAGTGTAATTAGAATGGAATAAATTAAATAATCATAAAAGTTTGTCATGGGAAAAATATGTGTTTAGAATTAATTAGTTTTCAAATAAAATGATATTTTAATTGCTCAGTTACAGAATCCTTAATTGCAGACATACTATTCTGGCTCAAATAACTTCAGTTGCTGTAACAACTTGATATATTCCTTCTAAGTCAATTCTTTTTAATAGTTTGTTACTAAACAAGATTATTGCAGGAAATGTCTGGAAGATGTTTAATTAAGCCCATGCAATCTAAGGACATTATTAGCCCTTGGAACCAAAGGGTTTGGAGCTGATCCTGCACTAGGCAGCTCCCCTAATTAAGGAGGATGGGCAGACAGATTGCCAGGCATGGCTGAACTGAAGGGCTACTCAAAACAAGCTTTTCATGATCCTTGGCTTAGCAATTTTCTACTAGTCTGCACATTTAAATTCATCTTTAGTCTGATGCCATGGTATAGTGAGACAGTTGTACATTTTTTTTTCATTTATATTGTGCATTTCCTCACTCTATTTTTAAGATAATTTGAATTAGTGGTCCTGCATCTTGTTTTTGCATGAGCTCAATGCAGAGTCCTTGAACCAGGCTACCATGTGCTTTGTTTGTGTGCCTGCTATCTCCAAGAAGGCTTTCTGTGGCTATATCATTATGCTTTACCAAGCAGTTAATGGTTTCAGAAGGTAAAACAGATAGGTTTCTTTTCCCTCATCTGCAAAATTAGCTGGTGTGTGAGGCACTAAAGTTTCATTAGTTTCAGCTTTATTTTACATGATGTATTTTCCAATCCGATAATAAAAAGCTAGTGCAATGCCATATAAGATAGGTGCTCATGTTCTCACTCCCCATGTTTGTGGCATAACTGTATCCATGATACTTGGCTGTCTCCAAAATGTTTACTTCAGTAAGATTTGCAATGCCCAAAATGTTTAACTTTGTTTTAAAAAAAAATAGAAAAGGTCAACCAGCTGATAGCTGAAGGCAAATATGTCAGAATGAAAGACTGAAAAAAAATTATCAGTCTGACACAGTGGGAGTATTAGAATGATTAATGTTTATGTTAATTTATGGCTTTTACATATTGATTAATAGCTTTTTGTTTCAGTGACCAATGTGTAAGTGGCAATGAGATCCATATGCTAACTCAGTATCTTTCAAATAATCACAGTTATTCTCAGGTTTGTTCCCATGCTGAATCTATGTTTTCTTATGGAGAATAATTGTTATACAGTTACTTTTTAAAAATTGCAGAGGTAACTGAAAGTGGATCTCAGTACAAGTCTAAGTTTTACCCGTTTCTGAGGATTACATGCTGATACTCATATATTTTTCTTGTAACCTTGTTCACTTAAAATCATAATGTAGTGTGGTTTAGTCTCAATTAGAGGATGCTTAGAGACAAAAAAGTTGTCAACACTGTGAGGAGCCAATATCTGAGTGGCAGTTATTAAAGTGTGTTGTATTGTGTGATGGTTATTAGCTCTGTTCCTATAAGATTTCTTATAGGTATTCTTCTTAGTGGTAGATGAGCAATTGTATTTTCTCTCTGTTCATTGACTGTTATAATAAAAATGTGGAAACTTCCATCATTTCTTGTCTAAATGTCAGGAGAGAAGCTAAACTGGGGAGAGAACCTGAGCGAGGACGGAGTCCTCCTAACCTCCTGGAAGTCAGTGGGAAATGGACAATAGAAATTAGACTTTTGAAGTGCTTTTGAGTGCAAGCATTTGTTGTTACCCATTAATAACAAATTYGGGACCATTTAGAATCAAAGCTCTGACGGCATTTCATATTTCCAATCTGTAAGAAGTAGGTTTTTGTCAGTCATAATGTTTACTAACACAGTTTACTGATTGAATGAGACATTTCTACCAATTTTAATTTCTACTTAAATTGTTTTAAATGCTAAATTAATTATTTTTAAAGTTAGCTTTAAAGAAATCCTATAAATRTAAGGCAGTCCAGAACTACATTTAGCACCAAAGCTGTAACGGGAGCTTCACACCAGATAGGTGGTTGCTACATGCTGATGTTAGGAGATAGATGAGTGAATATATTGCAGGCTCCAAACTTTGCAGCCATCTGTGCAGCGCCCCCCCTCCCCCCAGCCTCTGTCTCTGTGCCGGTGGGTGCTGTGGGTGGCTGTCCCATTTAGGGAGGTGAGCTGGAGCCACAGAGGTCCCAGCTGGACACGTTATAGGGGTGTTTCTCAGGCCAGGAAGATAGCAGCACTGTGAAGCCCAAATGTTTGTGGTGAGATAGCCAGATTTGCATTTGGAAAGCTCATGGTGCAGGGGCTGCCACTGTATTTTAACTCTGAAGATGGAAAATGTAACAGAATAAACAGCATTGCTTGCCTTGCACTGCCAATTTGATGGAGTTTTCTTATTGCAATGACTTGTTCTGTGTAGAAACCCCAGCCACACAGTGCAATGTGCCCATGCAACAGAGCAGGCTGCCCTGAAGCTCGGAGGCACGGTAGGCAGAGACCTACAGGCCAAAAGGAGTGTTATGTGAATGAACTATGTTATGTAGAAACAGCCTGGAAATGAGGAAGAGCAAGTTATTGATATCTTCAACTCATTCTTTGCTCTGACTTTTCCTCTGGGAGGGTAGCACCTGGTTGACTAGGAATTCCTAAAAAATAACAGGGATTTTGTGTATCTGGTGGTGAACACACCTGGATGTGTTGAATAATTTGCAGTAGTAATTGTCTGCACACCTGCTGACTTTAGCCCCCAATCAGTTTGCTAGACATGCCCAGAGAGGTTTCTTCTATACCTGAAAAAGCGCTTTCTACGCACAGGATTTTACTTTAAATGAGGCTACAGGAAAAAAAAAAAATGTTTCGTGGAGTTTTTGTCTTTGCTCAAGCCTGTGGCATCTCAAACTGAACTGCAAAGTTTGTAGGGGGAGGAGGGTGTTTGGATGATATTTTAATAGCAATTTGTTTTTGCTTCAATGTGTGATAGAAATTCAGGTGACAGGAGTGGGAACAGGAGAGTTGCTGAATTCTGCAGGAATTTTTCCTGTGGGAATCTGTTAATGTTTTTAATTCTCTGAGAGATTTTTCTAAGGTAATCCTTTTGACATTTACATATTTTAAATGACTCTTATTAAATAAAAGCTTAACTTTTCAATATCAAATGCTGAAGTGATGATACTGAAATACCATTGTATAGAAATTCAAATAGCTTGAAGATTATTCTAATTGCAGCCTAAACAAAGCAAGTTTTATGAAGGATATTAATAATGAATTATTCTTTAGAAGAATGGAATTTTGAAGGTGATTCAACTGTTTTGGCATATGGCAGAAGCATATTTTGCTAGACAAAACCTTTTTTAGTACCTAATGTGTCATACGTATAGCCATTTGCTAATGGAAACACAAATTTGAACAGCTGGTTTTCTCCCCTCATTGCTCATGTATCAGCCACAGCCTGCATACAAGCCCTATGCTCACAGCGCCCCTTGTCAAGAGTACCTTGGGCTCTGGGTCCCTTTGGAGTACAGAGGAGATCCTGGGGGAACAGGCTGTTAGCAGCACAGGGGAGGCTAGAAGGGAAAAAGGGGAATAGCTTTTTAAAAACAAGAACATGGTGATGAAGTGTTGTATCTCTTACCTGCGATACCTTCTTGCAACAGACCAGTGACACGAGCGAAACCCTTCATACCGTTCGGTGTCCCTTTGTAGAAGGCACGAGCCAAAAGATGACAATCAGAGACAAACATTACAAGTACTTTTCACTTATAAGTATTTTAAGTGAACTTTGTTCTGTAGATTTTATTTTACTAGTTCAAGCCCTTGAGCAAAATTTTGCTCTCAGACCAGCCTAAATACTAAGTAAATTCACTTAATTAAATTTACAGATATTCCCAGTTACAACAAGAATGGATTGGTTTCCCTGAGGCTAGATGGAGTTAACAAGAAAATAAATGTTGTGCTAATTAGAGAACTCATTTTTAGACACCTGGGGTGAAACTGCAAAAGCTCCTAGAGATTTAGGATTGAAAGTGCATCCGAAAAGGAGTCTCAGGCTTCTAAATCGCTTAGGCACTTCTGAAAAACTTACCCCAAGGGCTTTAACCAGCACCCAGTCATTACCTCTMGTGTGTTTATAGCTGCCTGTTTAGCAAAGCACTTGGTAACCATTACCTATTAGTAGCATTATACTAAGATGTACTTCATTATCCCTTTGAATAGGTATATTGAACTACCTCTACAGTTGAATGTAGCCCCAACTAAATGTCGGTGTCACACATTTGAGGATACACCTATGTCAGCAGAAGCACGTGGAAGCCTTCTCAGGCTTCTAGCACACCACTACAGCAAGCTTTTTCTTTTTTTTTTTCTTCCCCTTCACCCTTCCCCTTCATTCTCGTGGGATTTTGGCTGCCTTAGATACCTGAGAACTTTTAATAAAAACATTAATCTTAAGTGGCTTGTCCAAGTTCATGGATGGAGAAGGCAGCCTGGATGCACATGTTCAGTTATGTAGGTCAAACTGCTGTACCACTTGCAAGGAGAAAGGTGAGACACTCAGTGCTGTCACAGAGCCCCTTATCTGCTGATTGGCAACAAGTCACTTTATATGCACAACAGAAAATCACATGCATTTAACATTAAACACAGTTTCCAGAGTGGTATATCAGATTAGCAAAAACAGAGCAAAAAAGRAGGCTCCAAGCAGGGAGAATTTACCTCAGCTGTTTATAATTCAGATGCGTGTATACAGTTGTTATTTGTTTCCTACGTCTAGTTTGAGGGTTTTTTGAAGTACTGTCCTTGTGCAGACATGCACAAGGAGCRTCTGCTTCCTGCCAGTTAAAGCTCTCCCCACAGCCACGCACACACTCGCTGTCTGTCAGCAAAATCTTCTGTGTCAGTAATTAGAAAAATGCTATTAAAAGCCTGCCTTGTAATCCCAGATAGCCTCTGGGTTGGCTCTGTTCTGCTCCCTTCCTTGCACAGCAGCCCAGAGAGGGGCACTGCTCCTCTAGCTATGCTATTTATGCAGTTCTGCAAAGCAGCATTTTGAGGGCAATAGGATACAGCTGTAGTGTCCCAAGGAGGTGCTCTTCATTGATAAAAACCTTATTCTAAGAGGCGGACTAATAACACAGGTGAAACGTATTACAGACAGGCACTTGGGAGCTGGATCTCAGCAGAGGGTGAACCTGTGCGACKTGTGATCATCTGGAAAGTTACTCTGTCCTGTCATGAGTCTGGATTATCAGACATATCATAAAAGAGATGAGTCAGGGCACTAAAACATGAGAGTTATCCACTGAGCTCATTATTTTCGTACGTAATTGCACAATGCTACTGAGGGAGAACTGTACATTATGCTGAAAAAATCTGTTTCATCACTAGTCCTAAAAGATGATTGTATTTAATTAGAACCTATAGATACAATAGTGATTAGTGATCTATAAAACCCCGAGTTAGACCTGGATCTCCAATTGCAAATGAGTGGCGATAGCCAGTACTTCCATTAACGCAATTTTCAATGTGATGCTGATGTGAGGTGACAGTTAAGAACTGAGCTGTTTTAATTTACTTTGTAACTTGTAGCTCTGCTGCTTTGTTCTGATTCTTTGCAATTCCTCTGCTTTGAACTAGCAGGCAGGCAGATACCTGCTGCTCTTCTACACAATTTAGAAAACATTTTTTTAATATGGTGTAACATGAATGGGAAAGAATGGTGAGAGTTGACATCAGTTGTGACCAAGCTGTCCATTCCAGGCTGTCTGAATACAGGGCAGAAAGYGAGAAGCATGGCTAGGAATGTCTCACAGAAATCAGTGAAAGCAGTTTTTGTAATGGATGTTATGATGTATTTTCCAGTGAATTGCCAATTTTGTTACAGCCATAGGAGCTGCTAATTACCTGACCTCCGCACAGGCATATGCAGCAAGCGGGCACAAGGGAGAGTTGCTTTTGCCCTTCCTCTTTGCAGGCAGATCCTGCAGAAGGATCAAAGGTGCTAAGTCAAATGGTCTTTTTTGTCAGGTGCGGAAATATTTTGTGAAGGTGCCAGGTCAGTAGGAATTCTCTAATCAGCTCACACAAACTATCCTTGTTAATTTGTAGTAAACTGTGCTTCAGGTTTCACAAAAGCTACATGCTTTCCAATAAATATTTGTCTTGTTCTTTGCTGACTTGACCCATATTTAAATCAGAAACATAGGGCTGAAAGTATCCATTTCCCTATGGCTCCCTGTTGTTTTTCGTATTTGTAGGAATACAAACCTCTAGAATAAAATGTTTAACACAGCAGTCACAAAGTTGGGGTAAAACTTGCCAAGGGGCTGAGTGATAACTTGCTCACCAAATTTCTGAACATCCAGTATCCAGTGTCCTGTAGCTCTTACTTGCTGGTGCTGTTTGTGACGTGGAGGGTAGCTGGACAGTTTGCACTTACACGTAAGTGAGAGGTGCGTACGCATGGCTGGCTTAGCAGCCTTGCAGGTTTGGGAGATGCCTCAGCAGTACCTGTTAGGAGGAACCATTTTATGCAGGACTGTATGGCAAACGGAATAACAGATGGAAAGGGACTAGAGAATGCAAATGTTCTGAGCAAAGTAAAGGTAGAACTGTAGTTTCACTTTAGGCTGTCTTACCCCCTATGTTATCTGTCTTCCTGTCTCTCCCCCAGTTCATTCCTCCGATGGCTCTGCCGCCTCCGGATCCACGGTTTGTCCTAAGAGGTACCACTGCTGCAGTCCACACTCTGCATTTTTCCTGTGGAGGCCAAGAACCTGATTTCCCGATTCTTTTCTCTGGGCAAGTAAATCTTTGACCAGGAATTATGCCTGAATTCAGCATCATATAGACATTTCCTTTTAAAACAAGATGCATTGTTTAGATAAATAATACCCGTGAAAGCAAGAAAATGCATGATTGGTGATGGATGTATTATCTTTGTACCAACAAATTCAGCTTTGGGGGAAAAAAGGGGGGCGGGGCAGAAAGCATCGATCAGATTGTATCGGATTGTATGTAATGGTCACACTAAATGCCATCTGTTCCTACCGCTAGGTCTGAGAGTGGTTTTGTCCATGTCTGGAACCTGAAAACACGCAGAGTGGAAACAGCACTGGATGGGCACGGAAGGAAGTCAGTCTACTGGGTGGAAACAATGGGTGCTAAAGACAGACTCCTCAGGTTGGTGAAGCAGCTAAAAAAAAAAATTTATTTTTGTTTCTGTAATATACTTGATTAAAAAAAGGTATGTGTTATTTCTGGAGTCACTGAAAGTCTCAACACATACAGAAAATGTACAGAAGCACAGAAAATAGAAGTGGAAAAAATAGAACAATCCATTTGTTTATGATAGATGTGTGGCTACATCATGGCAGCTTGGGGTCTGTAGTGTCTTTTATTACTGTACTGAGATCAGGTGAGGTCTATGGGGAAAAAAGCTGACAAATACTTCACAACTGGTTTCCAGGAAAGATCAGATTTAAAACAAAGAGTTTATAAGAAGGGAAGAGGAAGGAAGTGAGGAAGGAAGAGAAGAATGAGAGATGGAGAGAGGATGGCACTGAGAATAAGCAGAAATCCCGAGTTGCATTTCTTTGCCTTATTGTTCTCTTTTAGCAAGGGAACGTTGGGAAGATTTGTGTACTTTGGATTACACAGGTGATCTAGAGTAGAGCAGATGCCAAAGCGTCTGTGTGACTTGGAGATGTTCTGACAGGTTTATCTAGAGAAGACATCTCTTATAATATACAGTGGAGYTCATTAGCATTTATATATGTTATCTGCTTAAGTATAGTTATCAACTCTCTCCCCTATAAAACCATACTGCATGAGTATTGCTTGTATAATTATAGGGTTTTTCCTTTTCCCTTATTTTTGCTATATAACAGTTCACCTAGCAGTGTAATTTTTAGGAAAGCAGTTACCTGTATTTTTATTTCTCAGCTCTAAATCTAAATCACAGTAATTTCTTGCAGTACCATGCTGTGTGTGTGTCCAGTGCTATGTGTTTTGATATTTTGTCACTTGAACAATAGATGAGAGTTTCTGCATTTACGTTGATGTCTCAACAGTCTGTAGATTTGCGTCTACCTCTGTTTTGGTTTCATAAGTCTGTCAAGTAATGCTGCTAATTAAAATGATGTATGGATAGGGTATGTTTGAATACTCCTTATTGCAGGTGATAACATGAGGATAGGTATTCACTGCTACTGTAGTCTGTGGATTGAAACAGCCATAGCTTCTGCACAGTAGTGGTTTGTTCTGTAACTGGGATCACATCAGTGTGTAACAGTAGAGATTCGACCCTTCTCCTGGCCTCCTCAGCCTCACTGTATGGGCCCAACACACAGGCTTTTCTTGGGATGGAGAGATGGGCAGGAGAGTTTCTGCTTGAGCTGCCCCCACACATCTGTGATGTAGCCCCAGCCCCTCCATTGCGTGGATGGTTCGGCCGTAATATTCCATTATTTAATTCCTGCTACTCGTGATATTGCTTGTAACTCTCCTCTTGTTCCTCTGCACATACGATGGTAAGAACCCTCCRTGCCATCTCTGTAACTGTGGGTAGGTGGCCACTGAGTAACTGTAGTATTTTTGTTTTTTAATGTTTCATGTGGTCTTTGTTGTCCTGCTGTTTGTTTCTTTGAGTTGTCAACATGCCTGATATTTGTATTACACTGCTAGGGTAAAAGTGTTAAATGAGCTGTACTCTGTATACTTTGGGTTCTAATCCTTTTAAATTAGGATTGAACCTAATTTTAATTGAATTTTAATTGAACCTGCTGACAAGTTTCACAGTCAGTAAATGATAGCGGTCTCGGTGCCGGTGAGTTCTCACACATTTCATAAAAGACCCCATTAATATCCCASTAAAAGGAAAAGCTCTAGTGACCCTGCTCCCTAGTAGAAGTGAAAGACCCATCTTGCAGAGCTCACCTATAGGACGGCAGGTTTCCTCAGTCTGCTGCTCACAGAACAACTTGTTTTACTGTAAAAGTCAGGGTCGGGACCAAAGGATCTGCCTGTGGGATTTAGCAGAAGGACGGACTTCAGTGACGGATTCTGTGTTCACGGAGAACGTGGGATTCTGCCGATGCTCGCTCTTAAAGGTGGCCCAGGAGCGCTGGCTAATGGCCATGGCAGCCAAGTCCCTAGAGGAGGTAGGAAATATCTCTTTTTCTGGTGCTTGGCCATGGTTTGCTTTAGTTTCTTAAATCAGATGGTCCAAAAGGGCTGTCGAATACTCTGCTCAAGAGAAGGTGGGACAAGGAACCTTTTGGGGTTGCTCGCTTTACCTGCAAGAAAGATGACCTAATTATATAATTCCCGTGCTAGTAACAAACTGTCCCAGGTTCTGTCTGACATTTAAATATTTGCAGCTGCTGCTGCTGAGCTTTCATGTGCAGTTCCCAAACTCGTCTGGTGCTGCTGCTGAATTCTGTTAACGGGATCTAACTTCCTTCTGGGGAACTAATGGTCAGAGAGTCTGTCATCAGAGGGAGACACTCATCCTCCGGACGCGGCTGCTGGGAGGAGGGAGGGTGCAGTGATTTGTAACGTGCTGCGCGGTCTTTCACCCYGGGCTAATTCTTTACCTGGTATGTGGCCTGGAAGGAGCTGAATGACTCGGAGCTACCAGAGGTTTGCTCAGTGCAAGATGACTGCGGGCTGCACTGTAGTTCCTGCTTGATACATCCTATCTGCTTGATACACCTACTATCTGCTACCACGGCTGGCATTAACTCCCAGCTTTACTTGGGAATCTCGACTTATATTTATTGGAATTGCATTTTTGTTTGCTTGGATAGACTATTTGTGATTATCACACTAAATTAAATTAATCAGAATGCCAAAAATAAGAAAAAAAAAAGACTCAATTTAATGAATGAAATATTATAGTTAATTGCAAATTGTGCATGGACATTAAAGGCCACGTTTTTTCTAGAGTTTAAGGCACCTCTCCTGAACTGAGAATTACATTGGATATATATGAAGTAATGTGGGAAGAGTGCCTGTATTGCAAGAAAATGTGAACTTTTTCTTATTCAGAAGTTATGTACATATTTAAATGCTTTTCTGGATCACAGCCAGAGTGTTCAGCATTTTGCAGGATGGAGCAATGTGTCAGTAAACACAACTATTGTAACCTGTAAATACAAGCACTGTAAGTCACATACATTGCTCTGATTGTACGAAAAAGCTGCATCCCTTTTACAGCAGTGTCCCGTGAAAAGTGCATTTTGTGTCAGACAGGAGTAAGTTACAAACGTGTATTTTGTTAGTGAAGAATTAAATAACCATCTAAGTTAAAGACATTTACCCCAATGTCTTTTCCTTCCTTCGTATGACTCTTCTCTATTTTATTTTCTCTTGTATCCTTGGGCTGTGCAAATGGATAGTGATTTGCTACCTCCTGAAGTAAAGGTGTTCCACTCTGTGTATGAACCTTTGCATTAGACTGTGTCAGGATTCCATAAATTCACGTAAGCTCCCATAATATATAGTGTTTCCAAATAGGCAGCACTGTGTGAGACACAGCACATTTGCAGCTTATGATTAAAATTAAGACTTAATAAGTGTTTATGCTTGGCTGGTGCCCAAAAAAAGAGTAATTTTGTCTTAAAGCAGGTTCAGTCCATAAATAATGAGATCTGAACAGGCATTTATTTGTTCATGATTGCATTTAAATCACCAATTATGAGTTACATGCGCTTTTCTTGCCAATTTGCCAGAAACATGTTAAAAGCTTTATTAATGTGAAAAAGAAAAAGGGTGTGTTTCCTTGTGGCCAGTTTTAGCCACCCAGGAACACTATTAACCCCAGGCAAAGGCAAATCTTTCTCCTATTAAGCAAAACCAATATAAACACAGAACTTCAAGTTTTAGGTTACAGTTGTCAAAATACATGAAATAGTATTTATTTCTAAGGCTTGGTTGCCTCTAATGGAGGCAGTCTCTGGAACTGTCAGTCTAGCACAGGCAGATCATGCCTGGCTGCCTCCTGCAAAAAGCTCCTCTCCTGTTTTTTCCCTTTGTTCTTGGCAAGCCCAACTACAGCCCTTATATCAGTTCTTCCCTTTTGAATTAAGGTAAAGCCAAGGAGTGTTTTCTTCTAACCTGCAGAGGTGCATTTTTCACAGTGATACCTTTTTCTTTGTTATGTAAAGTTCCAGCGTCAGTCTTTTTGTTCCTGGGATCTAGCAGGTAATCTCTCTTTGGAGCCAGTGATGAGAGATGCTAGATGAGCACAGGTCCTCATATTTACAGCCTGTTTCCTGACATGGCTAACGAGGTTACTATGTTGATAGCAAGAAAGCTGCCAAGCAAAAAAACAGTTTTTTTGTTGATGTCATAGCTCCAAAGAACCAAATTCCCAGAAGATCCAGGTTTGGTCTGTTCAGGTTTCATCCCTGCATTGGATGGTTCTTTATTGTAGTCCCTATCCCTCAAAACTGGAGAAGAGTTTCCAGCTGCACCGTTCCCTGGCTTCAGGAGATGCTCTGTGTATTGTGCTTAGTGCCTGGTGGACGCGCGGTGCTGGAGGGCTGCCGGCTTTTGGCACGCTGGCCAACACTCTAGAAATAGGAAGATGTTCTGGCAGGCTGTGAACCAAAGGTATGGGTTGGAAGCCATCGCAGCTGCCGTGGCCCTGATTGACGGCTCCCCGAGGAGCCGTATTTGTCTAATACCTCAACTCAGATGCTTAAGGAAATTTGCCTGACCGGGGCTGTCCAGCAGCAAGATTGGGCCTTTGCACATGTTGAAATAACCCGGAATATCTGGTGACTCTGGATTTACCAAATGCTTGAAGTCTTTTAATTTTATGAAAGAATGCATGCAATTGTATATTGAATTCAAATAAAAGATCACCCCAGTGATCTTAAGTATGCATTTGAGAAACAGGGATATGGAAAGAAGTATTCCTAGCAGCATGTTTTGATACCTCAGAACTTCACTTTCTCCATAGTTACAGGCTCAAGAAAAAGCCCAGAGCAAAACGCTTCTGTGTCAGTCAAGAGACGCAAAACCCACCAGTGCCAAATTGCAACGGCAGCCTCTGCTGATCCTGCCTGCCACCATCCTGGGGTGGAAATGAGCTACTTCCTTGGCAGAGGAAAGACTTGCCCTTTGCTAAGCATGAAATCAGATCCATAATTCATTATCATTAGGACATGCTGATGATAATCAGAGAGGCTGCTGTGTAGCCAGCAGCCAGAGTAGAGGCTGCTGTGTAGCCAGCAGGTATTTGATGCAGTGTTGCCTGACCTGCTCATAGTGGGGTCAGACTGTACTGGAGTAAAAATACCTGCATGTCAGCAGTGCTCCAGCCTGCATTAACAGAGAATTCTTGAGATTTAAAATTTGCTAGTGCAGAGTCAGACAGGAAATAAATATGTACCTTAAATATATGCAGTGCCTATGTATCCACAAAAGCGCTGTTACTGTGCCGGAACAGAGGAGATAAAACAAGTCCATAACTGCAGAAACTTAGCAAGAGAGGTGGAAAAAGAGGAGAAGGAGAGGAGAGGAAGCAGGGAAGTGATTTTTAGATGAGGCAGCCTGCAGTGTAATCCACTGTATGAAAGAAGGGTTTTTAAAATACAGGTAAAAGAGCAGAGGGGAAGAAGAAGATATGTTAGATTCTAGCAGTTTTTTTCTGGTCTTCTGTAAAACAATGCCATTATTTAGATATCTGTGGGTTTTCCTACAGATGCAACTTAACTTACATTTTCCARTTTCATCCAGACGGAGTATTTACTGAAAGAGTCTTAATCACCTTACAMGACTTCTGTTTTTAACAGCAGAATTTTGAACTGGAGCCTGACCAAATACTCTTGTTTTCCTGATGTCAGGTTCAGGTTTTGGAGCTGCCATCCAAGACATCAGTCTGTACCTTGAAGCCAGAGGTGGGTGCCAAGCTGGGCATGCCCATGTGTCTTAAGTTATGGCAGGTAAGGCAAGAGCGACTGCTAATTGTGAAATGTTTTCCCTGTGATTCATTTTATATGAAGCACATGAATCTTTCTTCACATAGATTTTGATTTATTATCAAACCAATCAAGTCATTATACTATTAAAAGGGAGAAAGATTTGTGAACATCCTTAATGTAACTTGCAGAGCTTTCCAAGCTTTAATGGAAGATTTGCAAATACTCAGGGAAAGCTTTGTATCCTTAGGATAGATACGTGTGGGKTTTTTTTTCCCATTAATCAAAAAGAAAACGAATGACTTTCCAAAGCCACTTGTTTGATATGGTTTCTTGCCGTATTAAGAAATAATTGGGCTACTTAAAAACTGTGATTTTAATGGCAGGTTGCGTTTACTTCAATGCCCTCAGGAGGAGGAAGTACTTTATGAACATTTCTATTCCAAGCATGCAATAGTAACAAAATTCTGTTGCTGTATTTGCTTTGGGCAAGCGGGCAAAAAAAAAAAAAAAAAAAGAGTGTTGCAGGGTGTTTAGCAAATAATGTATAAAGGGTGCCGATACTGAAAGACAAGTGATGAAAAAGGGGGCAGTAAAGAGAAGGAGTTTAAGTGTTTGGCTCTACATTGTTCAAGAATTGGTGGTAAAGCTGGTCCCTTATTTTAACTCTTCTGACYACATGCCCTTATGGGTCTGCAGTCCCATTAGGGCCATTTCAAGTATGTTATGCCTGGAAGCTCATCTGAACATTTCTATTTGATACAGTTGAAGGAAGCACCTATGGATCAGTTGTGAATTTGAGATTTTAGGGTCTTCACTCCGGGTCATGAACCATCTGAAGACAAGAGGAATTAATTTGCTGACCATAAAAATGTTAGGCCAGGCCACAGTCCAAATCCCATGGTGGAAGTAAAAACTAGAGAAAAAATCAGAAGACAAATTAAAATAGAAAGATTGGGCTTTTATTACACAGAAAGCTCCCTCTAGAAATGCAATCAATGTTCGGTACTCAATGAAATGAATGTGGCTTTCTGTCCCTTAGACATATTTTAATACAGTGAAGATAACTGAGGAAATGTTCAGTGTCAGAAAATATTGTTGCCTGTATAGAAAGTTCTCTGTCTTGCCACACTTTCTATGTACATTAATATTGCTATTCCCCTAGGAAGCAGAGCAGGTGCAGAGACTTAATTTTATGTAGTTTTTAATTTTGTTGCCAGTGGGGATAAAGCAGAGGACTGGGAATCGGAAGAGCTAAACTATTCCATGCAAATTCTGGCTTTGGGAAGTCACCATATCTTCCTAGACCACAACAACAGATAATCATTTACAGCTTCACAGCTGTATTTGCCCCCTTCACACATCTGTACAGCTGAGTCAGAATCGGSAGTGGATGGATACTTTGGAGATGCAAATAATTGCCTGTGATATACCAACTTTTTGCTCTGTTTTCTGTTTTGTGGTTTAATTGCAAGCGGGTGCCTGAGTAACCATAAAATCAGAAGAGCACRGGCTAGCACAGCTGCACCTCTCCCCGATTAGAAGTAATCCAGGATGTTTTTGTACATTACTGCATTGGGCAACATAGACATATGCAGAAGAGGAGCACTTCCAGCCTACGGCTTGTGGGCTCCGTGTTGCCAAAGAGACCGTTTGGTGTTGCTTATGGCGTAGCACATTAGCAAGTTGAAACAGTGGCTGACACGGAGAGAGAGCCACGGAATGGTGGGAAGGAAGGAAGGAAGGCAGCTGAGGGTTGGGGTCCAAGGGCTGGGGTCCACRACGTGTCTGGGGGGCTGCTCCCGTGTATCTGCACATTTTGCTGCATGCCAAGGAAAAAAAAAAAAAACAAAACAGGATCCATTTGTCAGGGGAACAATAGAATTCACTAGCAATGGCTTTGACTAGGAACTTGGTTGCAGAGTGGAAGGAAATTGAGGCTTATTTCAGACTTGTGCATTAATCCTTGCTGGCTTCTTCTAAGCTGTTAAAAAGCTGGCATCGGTGCATTTTGTTGGACTGAGACCACTTTTTATTCTAGTTTGACTAGATCTGTGCTTAAAAGTATCAGTGTGTGCTTTTCTTTTTCTTCTTGTGCAGGTTCATATTGTTGAATACTTTGTCCCCTGCTCTTAGTAACGGGTGGGGTGGCATTTGCAAGAGTAAGGAGAGTTGTCCCTTACATTTTTTGCACTCCTCAGGGAAGGCATCATGTTGCGTAATGGTACAAACAAAATAATTCAAGAGGAATAATACATGTAGAAACTGGAAATGCAGAGTTATTACTTTATATAAACTCTCACAATTATTCCTGCAGAGTTGACAGCAGATCACCTTTTCTTCCTTCCTTGACAGTTAACCAAATGCAACAGCAAAATGTTCTGCTTAGGAAGAGCAGTGATTTATATTTTAAAGTTTCCCATGCAACCAGAACGAGTGGAGGTGATTTTCCTCCAGAGGTGTCAGCTRTTAGCACCTGAAGGAATAGGCTGTTGTGATCCATTGCTTGGATCAGGCATCAGACTGAACACCCCCAATCTTTCAATCAGCCTTTCCTGGGGAATTTCAATTATGTGTACTTACTAAAATATTACACTTCCTATAATTTGAGAAAGGCACGAGCGGGATGTAGGGGAGATCTTCATTGCAGAGGCAGTTTTTTAATTTCATTTTATTTCTAATTAGACAAATCTTAGATCCTGCCTGCACATTGCTGTTTTTCAAATCTCAGCTAAGGGACCTGTAGTGGAAAGCAACATGTTTTAGCTCAGCGCCCTGCGTGGCACGGAGCGCCCGGCCGTGCCGGGGCCTGTGACAGCGCTGGGATCTGCCCCCCCACTGGAGCTCTGGCAGGGCTGCCCCTGCCCAGGCAGAGCTGCTCGCCCTGGCTAACGAGGGCTGCATCTACACAGAGCCCCGGGGCACCGCACGAGTCCTGGGTTGTACACGAGTACAAGTAATTGATTTTTTGGTTTGCTGCCCAAACTGGGGGCTTTTTAGAACTTAATTGAAGCACTATGAAATATCTCATTTTTCTTTGAAGCTTTTACCATGTATTGCATGTAAATAAATATATAAATGTTTCTTTCACTCATTTTTTTTTCTCCTTCCTCCCAAAGGAAAAGGATATTCTTCATTCAAAATACCTGATGATATAACATTAACTCACAAATATTTGATATATATTTTTGACCTATAGTTTTATGATTTTAGCAAATCAAAGACTTGGCAGACAGCTCCTGCCSAGTTTTGGCTGAGAGCTGCTTATCACGTGGGCCTTTCTTTTTTTCCCTTTGTAGTCTGAGCAGGGGCCCCACTTTTCCACTAAAAAGCGAAAGATCTTAAAGCAAAGACACTTCTGCAGGATCCCGCATGAGACAGTCCTGCTCAGAGGGAAGATGTAGGAGATTCCCCTTTGGCTTCCTAATTTCAAGGCACAATTTTATACCCTGTTCAATGAGATTCCTTTCTCACTTAAACATTTCTTTAGACTGGGTAAATCCAAGGAAGAACAAGAGGTTTTTACTCAGCAGTCTTAGTATTTAGACCACCCATCTCTTGTTAGTTTAACTCCCCCTAGAACAAATAATAACCAATGTGAGAATAGTCTGGACCATTAACGGAGACTGAGAGCCTCTGGCCAGTGCAGGTTTGCATCACTGACAGCCAGTCAGTTCCAAGAACCCCATTCAGTGGTACCATAACAGTAAAAATTCTTTATACACGTCCTTTCATTTTCTTTTTGAATTGAATACAAAACAAAGGAATCTTGTAGTATCAGATGGTGTTCAAGAAGAACTGAATAACCTAATGGATGCATTATTAGGGTAAGATATCCCTGTGTGAGGTAGCTGCAATCCCCACATTTATTTTGGTGTGTTTTCTGCTGTTAAAAACATAACTGGCACTAACAGATGCCAGTTTTAGTTGCTTTTCATTAGGGATTTGCATCTTCACTCACACGACCAGTTACTGCTTACAGGGTCATTAGTCTTTTGGCTGGAGCAATGATGAATATTTTCCTTAAGTGTGACATGTAATCCAGTAATGTTCCCTTCTCTGAGTTATTTCAGAGGCTTAAATAAATTAGGTGTCTGCCCAGGGTGCCCTGGCCTTTGGCCTGTGACATCGTTAATCAAAATAGCTCTCAATTGGTTACAGGGGGACTGAGGCGCCCATTAACCCCTTGGTGCCTCGCCCAGAGATCCTCTAAGAGAGGTTCAGTGTCTCCAAGCACTGCCGGGTGCTGGGGTAAATGAGCTGTGTCTAGAACCTCACCCTTAGCGAAGCAAAACCAGGCGCTGTGCATGGACTTCCTTCAGTGTCCATACAGTTCTGTACAGCGTGATTGTAACTCAGTTGCCCTAAGTAATATTCTTAAGGAGCACAACTGACGTTTAGGCCATAGAAGAACTGAAGTTTAGGCCGTAGCACTTCGGAAGACTTCAGACATAAGGATATTGTTCAGCTCATGCTAAGGATGCTAGTTTGGATTTTCACCATAAAGTGTTTCTTACATATTAACCCCCACCCAGCTTTATATATCTATATGAAAAATGTAACAGTGTCAGCAGTTGCATAATGATGTTTTTACATAGTAAGAATGTCTTCAGTTGCGTTGATTTTCGGACTTCTAACTTTTCACTGCTATGTCAGTCAGCATTTTCTTTTTTTTTTTTTTTCTTTTACTGCTTGGATTGAAATCTAATTGTGGGTGAGAATTTTCCTAACAACCTTTTTATGTTTCCTGTTCAGCTGGACACTGGTTCTCAACCTTGGCTTCTGGCTGGCTATGAAGATGGATCAGTGAGCCTTTGGAACCTGTCAATGGGCAAAGTGTGGAGCCAGCTTGTTTGCCATCAGGAGCCAGTGATGAGCCTTGACTTTGACTCGGAGAAGGCCAAGGGGATCTCAGGCTCATCTGAAAAGGTGCTTAGCATCTGGAGCCTCAATGAGCAACAGAACCTCCAGGTCAGGATCATTGGCCCTCTAGTGTCATTTATCCCACTTTGCACTAACAGTTTGATAGACTAAAAAAAATATTTAGTCATGAAGAGGAGTTGTTGCAGATCTCTAGCTAATTAATCACAGACTGGTTAGAATGCCTATGCTATGTGACTCGACTTAGCGAAAGATGGTGAGGATTTAAAAAAAAAAAAAGAGAGAGAGAAAAAAAACTTCTCTCACATGTTTCTGGTTTTACCAAAGTTACAACAGGCACACAGGCCTAGCATTACTCAAGCCATTGCCTCTACATCTTCATTTATCATGTTAGTAGTATCCAGCCCTCGGAATGTCCTAAACATTATAAATGAGTTATAAAAATGAGAAACAAAGGCTTGCTTTTCCAAAGGTTCTGCTTGGATGGCTACAGCTCTCCTTCCACTGTAAGAAAGGCAGAACTGTTCCATGAAATACTTCACAAAAGAGAAGGAGTGATCCAGATGCCCAGCTGCCACCAACAGGAACTGTGGTTTTTGGCAGCCAGCTTCCTTTGACATCTTTGAGAGTCTTAATCTGAGACAGGAAAAATAAGTATGAGTTTGTACCTGAGTTACCTATACCTGGAATGGCTGGTTTAGAMGGAGGACTTATAACCAGCAGTTCAGTGTGCGCTGGTGAATGGCACTAAACATTGCTTAATCTAGACAGCCTCAGCAGGTGCTCAACGGTGCCAAGGGGTTAAGTAGGTTTTTACTAGGTGTGGAATTGAAGTACATAAATTAAAGTTCATGCAAGTTAAAATTGCCCCTACACAGCCTTCCTCTGCAGAATGGAACCTTTTCTGATACAGCAGCTGTCCCCTGATTGCACAAAGATGAGGCTGCTCCCAAAGCATCCTTGAGAAGGTAGATGCTAGATGTATCAATTCATGGTGAAACAGTAACTGCTCTTCCAGCTTGCAGCTTTTGTGGAAATCTTTTAAGCAGTGTAGTGAGTTAATGCTGTTTTGGAAAGGAATTACAGAAGGAAAAACATGTTCCAGGACATTTAAYAGTGGCTTAGCTTGCAGGAGTGCCGTGAGGACACACGGCTTGCTAGGCATCACCTCAGCATGAATGTGTATTCTGTGCATACAAGATAAACACACATGTAGGAAATAATATTGAGAGAAGACACTTTTCACCAGATCCTGAGGCAATAATAATTGACTAATAATCAAGAAGACCCAAGGTAAAAGAAGTCCTCTGGATTCTGAATAGTTTGGGTTGGAGGGGAAGCTATTCCTTCATATTCATTATAGCTTTGTTTTTTTCTGAAGCTCACGCTAGYCCGATAAATATATGTGTGTGAGTGTGTTCCCCACAGCACAGTTCAGCTGCAAGTTAGCTTCAATGCAGGGATATGGGTATGACACATGGGAAAAGGAAACCCTTGAGCTGGTCACCTGAAATACTCTAGGTTTTGTTTTCCCCAGAGCGATCACGTGCCCGGGGTTGCAGCRTTAGTTATAGCTTCAGCGCATGGCACTGAGACAGAGTAACTTTTCTCAAAAGAAATTGAAATGCCAGGTATTCTAAACCATACATAGAGCTTCTGTGCTTCATGGATAGTGTGAATTCCATAATAAAATACATCTCTTACACAAGCACCAGAAAGTCTCAATGACATAGATTAAGGATTTTTTTTTTCCACAATTGCATTAATAATACAAACCAGATGGGGAGTTTTTTCCTGACATTCCAGGTACCTGAGGTAATGGTAGACGTTGGAAAGCCACTCAGTGGCACATTATTTTTATTCAAAAAAGYTTTAATAAGTAAACGTGGTGCATAGCTATCTGCTGTTGGAGAAATAATGACGCAATGATGGTACTTGGGCTCTGTTTTAAGTGGCAATGTTCCAGTGTGTCAATGAAGAGATGATGAAGGTAACTTCATAGTTTATCGCTATGAGGAAAGTTTGGTGTATTGTCTTCTACCAGAAAGTTGCTGAAATCATCACTGTCAGCAAATGACTGGATTGGTTATGAGCTTTCTGATTTAGATGAGATAGCATAATTAAGTGATGATGTTCGTGGCAGAAGAACATCCGAGGTAAACAGCTTCTGCAGGTGACTAAACAAAGCAGAATTGTGAAATCTGATAATCGCAGAAGCTCCTTAGTTTAGAACACAAGAAAAAAATATCTGTACCTTGTAATGTAGGTAAGCACATGAGTTTCATTGGTTGGATTGCTAAGGTTTCTCAGATTCTGGAGCTTAGGTTGCTGTCACCACCATATTGGCTATTTCTCTAATTAAGTATAGGATTTAAAGACATGATTTGGGGTGTAGGAGAAGGAGATTAGAAAAAGAAATCACAGACACTGTGTTCAGGAGAGGTGCTGTCTGTCGGCCTCAGTGTTTTAAAGTTTATTACTGTGTCAGTAAAAGCAATTGTCCTTGGCTCTAACCAGCTGAAAGCAGCTCACCTCAGCTTTGCATTTCACCTCCTTCCTTTCTGATTTGAAGTTAGTTAAAATACAATGATATGCATATATTTACAGTAGCTGCCTGTAAGTTACTGGCTAGCCCAGATCCACAGTAGGATTTCCCCTGGCTGCACATGCCTCATGCAAGTTGTTCTGCTTTGTTTTGTTTTTCTGTCTCTCACCTCCAGTATTTGCAGATCATGCACAAATGCCCACTGTTCCCTCATGTTCCGCAGCCAAAAGGCATCACCATTATAGGCTTCATTTTCAAGTTGGAGCTTGCCAGCAACATGCAGTTCCTCCCAGTCGCCTTGATTTTGCTGCATGGATCTTGCCCACGTAATTGACAGTAATGAYGGGAAACACCACGCCCAGGATTGGTTATAGCCATTAGCTAGAAACCTCAGTTACAAAGCAAGGCCCTTCTGACATCTGCCAGGCACAAATGCTCCCCTTGTCAGTGCACATGTGCCATGCTGCAATGGCATAACTAGGGAGTTTGGAATAAATAAGTACCAGCAAAGAGCACAGCTCTTACAGAGCATGTCAGAGCCCCACGGAGAGGCTGCATATAGACTCATAGTGCCCATTAGACTTCAGAAGCAATTGCTACCCCCTGGCCTGAATTGAGTGTAGACRCCTTCTTCAGGGCTTGTATAAATAAGGATATATGGAAGATGCAAGAAAAATTCAATTAATCTTTTTTTCTTTTCTCATTGAATTTGCATATCTTTGAAATATATTGCTGGTTAGTTATTATATAGCTGAAAAATAACTACTTACAGTTTAGTTCCTGTAAGATTCCAAGATGTGCTCATGTCTATCTGAAGCCAACTTTGACTAGCATTCCACAGGTTGCAGTTCTTTAGATCCAATGATCATGTTAGTGTAAGCTGCAACCAATTATATTCACAAATGTATATATACATATATATCTCTCCACAAAATGTGGAATGTCCACAATGGGGAAAATTACTCAGATGTTCTTTTCATCCCCTTCCTTCATGAGGAAGACAATAAACATGCAGTGTATTAGAACATGCACTGAATTAAGTGTTGGTGCAAGATAGCTAAATGATAGCTTTTAAGTACATGGAAGCATTAACATGACATTTCCAACTGTAATCTTGAATTTTGCGCATTGATAACTGCATGCAATGATCAGAATACTCAGCGTGCCACAGCTGCCACGCACTGTGATGCATATTCTGCACGTCTGAGAAATGGACTGCTGACCAGTGCAGTTGTCCAAGCTGAGCATAGCAGAAGTGCATTAACACTGAGCCCGCTCTCCTTGGACTTCAGAAGACGTTCCAGACTCTTGAAATGAAAACTCTCTTTTTGAGAGTTGGGCTGAGTAGGGTACAGGCTCAGTGCCTGAAGAAGGATGCCAAATGCTTTGCACTTTAATTAGACCCCCTCAGAAGTTCGTGCCCCAGTATCCAGGCAGTAAGAAAAGGCTTCAAAGGTTGAAATCAATAACTTGTTCGTAAGCCCCTTCTTGGAATTTGGTGAAAATAAAAGTCTCTTGGGTAAAGTACTCGAAATACAGATTTCCTGACGCTGTAACCTAATTCCTGGAAGCATTCCTTTCTCAAGGCTGCGGTGAATGCTACCACAGCTAGTGGGGTTTTTGTGAGGGGCCACAGTAGTAGAAAACAGTAGCAGGTAGTTTAAATACTAGATCAGAATATCAGCATGGGAATAGTTTGGAACTTTGCAGCTCATGCAAGAATACCTAGAAGAGCAAAGGGGTGCAGTCTGAATCTCAAACCCTTGATTCAGAATTTCAGTTGTGATAAAAAATACAGCTTAAAATGCAATATGAGCTGGAACATAAGGGATACTAAAAAAAGAAAAACTGAGAGGTTGTTGCTGGAGAAGGGCTCAGGTCAAGGGCTTTTCCACCTTTTGGCTATGATGGGTCGCACTAGGGCATTGTCTACCATGTGGTGAGCGCTACTCACTAGTGTCTGGCACTGGTGTTTGTGGGTGGGTGTTGTAACTTCTGAAATCCCCCAAGATTGCTTTTTCTTTTGTTTCTAGATAATAGCATTTAAAAACAAAAACATTCTTCCTCAGGTTCACAAAACACATGAGCTCATCAACTCTGGCATATCTGATATTACCATCCGCTCGGACAAGAAGATCCTGGCAACAGCGGGCTGGGATCATCGCATCAGGATCTTTGGCTGGAAGAAGATGAAGCCCTTAGCAGTGCTGGACTACCACACAGCCACGGTCCATTGCGTGGCCTTCTCAGATCACAGGAACCCGAGCGAGAGGCTGCTAGCAGCTGGCTCAAAGGATCATCGCATCAGTGTCTGGTCAATATATGCTCAGACATGACACAGGCTGCACTTTCAGGGAGTGTGAAGCAGGAATTCAACTCTGGACTTGGGGAAGCAATACAGTGTATTTCCAGGCTGAAGTCTGAGTCCCTGGAAAATGAGAGATTGATTTTTATGCTGTTCTACAGCAATGTTGCAAGATTTTTTTTTTTCTAGAAAGGGGAGTTAATATTTAAAATTAATATGAAGTGGAGCAAAGCCAGTCATGAATGAAGACACAGGACGAGTAGCTCTGAGTCCTGTTGCAGGTTTTGTCATGGCTTTTTCTTTGCCAAGTTGCTTGAATAGCTCATGCCAATTTCTTCTTTTGCAAGAAGGGACTGGAATCTCTCAAGACTGCTGTGGGGGCAGAATCTGTCTGTTTGTAAGTCATTTATGGATCCAAGATTCTGAATCAGTGTAAAATATGACTCTTTCTTGAGAATTTATACCCATTAAACCACCTCCAGTGGTTTCTCATTGTCAGTTACTTTTTCTTCCCTGTGACTGGAAGGCTATCAGAACAACCTTGATTTGTTCACACTTCTGTCAGTTTCTAACTTAAACCAACAGCCAGGAATGTGACTAGGGACGGCCTTTGGCATTTATGAATTTCATTATGTCTCCTGTCACCTCAAGCCTTGCAATTAATCACAAGAAAGAAAGAAATCTTGGGCTGGCCCTGTGCTGCAAAGCTGTGTAAAGCCTGTTACAGAGCYGGTGCTAAATCCGTTCCACAGACTGACTAGCAGAAGGATTTAAGCTCAGCAATCCAATTAGCACCCTTCTCCTTGGAGAGCAGGGGTAAGTTTTCACCATGGTGACACTGGGATTCAGCTACACAACTCCCATTAACATTAAGGGGACCGGCATGGATAAATACTTATCCACAGAGTGCAAATGAGTCCATTAACTTGTCATCTCCATAGTCATAGAAGCTGAAATTTGTTCATAAAGGGTTTATATTCTTTCAATCACAAAACAGCAACAGCAGTGTTTTAAAACTCATGCTGGGCATGGGCAGATGTTCATACACATCTTACTGTTGAATTCAGATTTGTCAGAAGGTCGCAGTTATAACTACACCACCGGAGCAATTAATTAGTAAGTGCCAGTTTGTTGAAAGAGGAATTTAAGGCAAGGCAGTGGCCTACAGACTGAAACTCAGCTTCTCAACTGAAGTTCTGTGTATTCGCAGTACTGCTGTGTTGATATTGTAGTGGAAATATATATATATATATATTTTTTTTTTTTTTTTGCCTCAGTAGGGACCTGGTCACCAAAGAAAAAGTTACCAAACTTGCAATGAGCAGCAACATCAAAAGGCTTCAGAAATTATTTCAGGGAAAACGGACAGGCAGTAAGGTAAGGTCTGCTCCCCAGCTGTGCTTTACAGGCAGTGAGAATGCTGCTGAGCTGTAGCTCTAAAGCACCAAGCCTGATGTTCTTTCCATTAAAAAACAGAAGCAACATATCGTTCCCAGGCTTTCCTAGATGAAACTTGACCTTTCTCATTTTGGAGTGTGATGACACTTCTTAAAATATTTTATTTCCTTGATTATTTCTTTACTGTAAGGTAGCTGCATGGAAGATCACACTGCACTTGAAATTTAAGGCCCAGTTTTGAGTGATCCTAAGTGAAGGGGAGGTGCTGGTGTTCATTACATCTACCAGATACAGTTGTATAGATGGTAATCTCTCCATCTCCACATGTCATCTGCCTCCCMCATGAAGGAGGAGCCATCCTTACAGGACAAGATTCTCCAGGCCAGCAGCCTTATGGAATGAGACAGGGACCTTCTCAACAAGCCTGCTCCTGGAAGAGATATTTTTTTCACCACTCTTTAAGTGCATCTAATTGAAGTGTAGATTTATAGTGTATCATTACAGAAAACATTGTCATGTCTGGTCAAGATATTTTTCATTACGCAGCTTGCAAAGAGATTTCATTTTGCCTGCCCTGCCCTGCAGTGCAGCACAGATGAGGCCTCTCAGGCAGCCCTGAGCCTGCTATCCCTTCCATTTGAGTGGAGCTCTTTAAACATAACTTACAGAAATTCTGCTTTAACAGAATTCACATGCATGACTATCCAGTGACCCTCAATTTTCAGAACATAACCCATAAGATAAACACTTGAGTTTTAGCCTCCTTTTCACTTAGATTCTAAATAAATGATTATATATTAAATGAAATAAGCAGCTGACCGCAAGCCCTTCAGTCCCAATGAATATGCAAACTGTGTCTTTAATGAAGGATGCTGTACCCTACATCCACAGYAGGAAATAACTTTTGATGCAAGCACCCTAATGGGGGCAGCCCCTCTAAGAAGAGTATATTAATACCCGATGTCTTAATAAGTGTGCTTTCAGATCAGAACCTGAGTTAGACACTCAGTATATTTTTTTTTCCAAAGTAACCTTTTAATGGCAATGTTAATGTCAGTAGTAATTATGGAGACTCATAAGAGAGGCTTAGATTTATTAATAAGTTTCTTGGCATTACTAGCTATGTTCCTTAATGTCTAATTTACTGCCCTGTGCTTTTGTTTTAAAAATAAACCCAGTGCTACAAGCACACATTGAGAATAAGAGCATGAACTGCATCCGTAATCTTGCACGCACAGAGGTAAGGAGTCTGATCAGCTTCAAGAGGAACGATGCGTGTGTGCAGATCTGCTTGCAGAAATAGACCTAACCTATCTTTATTTARGTCCCATTACCGAAAAAAATATCCCCATGATACTTTTGTATGTTACAGTAGTGAATTCTTTAATACTTCACATGATTATTGATTAAAAACAAAAGAAAACCAAAACCTCACTCGGGAAGAGGAATTTTAATGTTTTTGACATTAGTTTTGTTCCACTGAGCAAACAGACTATGTTAATTTGATTTAGAGTAGAGCATAAATGTCATTGTTCAAATGTGAATTGCAGTCTTCTAAAAGTATATTTGCTTAAGGAGCAGACTTGGACTTTCTTAGCAGAGAATGTTTTTTTTACTGCAATGGACAATCTATACAGGCTATAAAAACAGAGTTACTTGATTGCATCTAGGAAATGAAAATATTTTCAGAAAAAATGTAAAAGTTCTTTAAAATTGTAAAATTAGCATGTTTATCACTCTCGAGTACAGCTGATTTACTTGCYAGTAAGAAAGTTATGAGTGAAGAGCCACCTTAAGCCGCTGGAGTCAGCTCTGGAATCTCACATGCCAAAAAGGAACAGGACTAGCCTGTACCTGGCCTAAAGGATTTGGGAGTGAAGGTGATGACAGCTAAATTATTACAAAAGGCTTCCTCCCAAGGATCCTAACACTGCGAGAGGGAAGAAAGCAGCCAGCATTCATAAACTAATAGAAATAAATCTCCAAACATTAGCATTTGTGTAGCAATTACATGGAATATTTAGCGCCACAAGAATGAATGGTGATCTCTGACCCTCAAACATTTTCTGCAAATGAATCCATTAGTTCCTAACCCTTTCTCTTACCTGTTCATAGACCATTGCCAGCCTAAGTATAGATGAGCAAGGAAAGAGGAGATTAGCTATATTTGTAGTAATGAGTGAAAAAAAGAGACTTGCAATGAGAAAGTTGTTAAATGTAGCCCTATGCAATGCAATTGCATTAATCAGCCAATAAATTATTCCATGCAGCTTGAGCTGGATTGTTGCAGTGTTCCCTTTTATAGGGCTGTGTTTTATAGTTCAGTCAATACTAGCTTCTGGAATGGTTTGTTTCTTAGCACATTTAAAATGTATCTACAAAGCCAACTAACAAATTAATAAATCTTTTCCTTAATTCAATCTGCCAAGAAGTTGTTAAAACTCTGACTGCTGCAACAACCATGTTAATGATGTAAACCAAAGGACTGGGGATTAAACAAGGATTATTGAGTGTTAAATCAATGTGTTTCCTCTTCTGGTTCTATGTCTCTGGTGTGAAAATAGGGATCATTATATGAAACATGGCACACGACTGCTTGGATTAATACTAGATGTTAAAGCAAAGCTGAGACACAAGATTTGATGTTGATGCCTGACCATTCGGTGCACTACCAAGAAAGTGATGCAGTGAGCGAGGAAGAAAGGAAGACTTTTTCTACTAGTTGCACTACTCTGAGATTCCAGTCTTTTTAGAATCTTCTAGTACTAGAGTATTTTTTCTCCAGATACACTTGGCTGTGTTTAACCCATGAACTGATCTTAGGGGCATTCAGGAGGTTTGTTTTAAAATGTGAACAAGACTGACAAGAATTAAAATCATACGGTTTTTCAATTCCTTTAAGAATTTCATAGTATGACATTAACATTAAAAAAAAAAAAAAAAAAAAACTAAAAAAACTTTGCACTCTAACCAAACCAAAGCATCCTCATCCTGCCCCCCTGACACAGAGAATACAAAGATCCTGGGAAGTACAAAGGCCCTTGAAGCAAACTGAGGTGCCAGGTTCTTTGTGGAAGACAATGGAAAGGGTGGAAGGAGGAAGGGTGCACAGACTGAGCAGATGGTGCTAGTTCTGCCCTTTCAAACTGCAAGCCAACTCATCTCACCTTTAGAAGTATTTTCTGTCACCTGCAGCCCCTTTAAAAGTGGTGGAACATTAGGAAATCCTGTAAACTGCAACATGTACTGGGAACTATGTAAACACAGTGTCTAAAATGCCTGTGCTCTCCCAGAGGAGTGTATATTTATTGCTGTACCACAGACCGTGCCAATGTCAAATGTTGTGATGCCAGTGGAGATAATAGCAGGAGGAAATAGGRCTTCTTGAAGAAGCTACATGTACTGCACAGCCATCTCAGATCAGTACAGACTTGTCACAAGAGAGTGACATGGCAATGCAAGTATTTATTATAACTATTTTTATATGAGTTGGAACTTCTGATCTTTAAAAAAAATGCTGATCAGACTGCCATTACAGTTGAATGCTCTTTCTTCATAGTTCTTATTCAAAGCGTATGCAAAGTAGAGTGGCAAAATCCCAGGCACTTTCTAGACAGCAGTGATCTCTTTCCTCCCAGCTGCACAGATATCGATCCTGATTACATCCAGATCAGGAAATCTAGGGAGCCTGTTAAAATGCTGAGCCAGACTTTGGCTCCATAGTTCTGCCATCTCATAAAGGCACAGGTACATTTTCCTAGTACCTTGTCTTGATGGTAATTAAAAGAAATGTTGCTCATATGAAAGCTTAATGATTTTTGGATACTTACTGTTATCTTTTAGGATTTTTTTTTGCCTCAGATGTTTTGATGGCATGCAGACTTGGCATCATGCTAAATAGAGACATTGAGTCTTTAAAGTGTTATCTCTTGAGCCCATCTGGTTTGAAGTAGCTGACAACAAGCAGGAAAGGGAATGGAGTGAAAGACCCACTTCATTTTTGCAGAAATAAAAGGTACATAAGGCAGCATTCAAACGAAATCAGGCTGTGAGAAGCGCTTCTGTGCTCCCCTTTGCCACCCCTCCTCTGCCCCACCTTAACATGTTTGGAATGGGAAGGCTTCTTCAGTGACCCTTGCGCCCCGGCGCTAGCCTGGCT